TGCCTTCTGACTGACAATGTAGAGCAGTGGGTCCAACCTTCTCAGCCAGTAGCCCAACATATTATTTCAATGTGCCAAGGAACCACAGCTCTGCTTCAAGCTGCCTTTCCCACCCCACCCTGCACCCTCTCTAGCCCCTTCTCTCTCCTAAGTTCTTAAGAAATTGAACTGGGAGCCTAAAAGCAGCTCCTAACTTGGGTTCCTAACTCCAAACAGTGGGTCCAGAACAGTAGCTCAGAGGTTGCTTTGTACTTCATTCCCCTTTGTAATCAAATGCAAATTTTCTTCTTAACACAGTCTCCCTTGAGGGTCACAATTAAGAGTCTTGAGGGCCCCAAGGTCCAGAGGTTGGACACTTCTGATCTAGAGCAAGATGCTCAGATAATGGGATAAATAAAGTACTAAAATGTCTGAATCCCTATCTCCAAGTGAGGTCACATCAAAGAGCCCAGAAGCTAGGGTCATGGGCCTGGGATGCCTCGACCCCTAAGAGGCCAGGAATCAAGACACACAACTATCTCACTGCTGCTTTCTCTGCTCTTGAAGTTCTCACTAACAATGAAAAAACCAGGAGGTTTTGTTTCTGTGACCTGGTGCACTCTCTCTCTCTCTCTCCCTCTCTCGCTAGTTTCTTTATTTTTTTAATTGCATCATAAAACCCATTTGTAGTTAAACAGAGCACTGTAGGTCTGTCAATATACAAACCAACCTTCCCGTTTATTATTAAATCTAAGCAAATAATATTAGACTAAATTCTTGGCCTTTGGGAGACCTCTGGAGGGAAGGAAAATTATGAATCAGTTACAGCTTTTTAAAATTACAGTGACAAGTCTCTGAGTTTCAGTCACTGCAACCTCACTCGGGGAGTTACACCAGCATAAAACTGATGAACGCAGTATGGATGGAATTGTATCTGTGTGAAACTGAAGGAACGCAGTGATGAATCAGTCCTTAGGGCCTCACTCCTGCAAACACTTATGCAGCAGCTTAATTTTACACGTGAGTAGTCCCATTGACATCATAGGAGCAGTGGACAGCTGTGTGTAGACAGCGCCAGCCACACTCCTTTCCACCCCTGAAATGCCCTCTTTCTGTCCCAGCATATCTCTTGTGTCCTGCACTAGGAGCACTTGGAGTAGAGGGAGAAAAAGGAGCTCCTGGTAGTCTCTGTCTATGGCCACAATTATGGTAGTGTTGTCAGCCTGGGAGAAGGGAATCTTAATTCTGTTTTTCCTGGTTTGCTATATTTGAGGGTGTTTTTTTTTTAACTTTTACATCATTGTGATGTAGAAGGCAGGGAGTGAGTGTGAGGCAGCAGCAACTTTACCTCATGCCTTATCAAAACTCTTTTGTGGGGGAACAAGTGTCTAAGTAATGCTCTTGTAACATCTGATATAAAGGGTGTTAAACCTAAGTACTGATTCAAATCTACTTTATGAATATGTCATGAGGAACAAACTGTTCCCTCATCCACAGAAGTGGTCCCCTTACATTAAAGATGGGGTGATAAGGAAAAGCTACTGCCATTTCTGAACATAAGAGGATTTCAGTCTTCAGGGCTATCTATTTATCTTGGTTACTTACATGTCTCTATGATGGGATGTCTATCCCCCATAGGTGAACAAGGTTTAACAGGAGTCTGACAACTCAGTGACCCACCTGGAGAGTGTTTTAGGCTTGATTTGTTATTAGGCCCACCTGAGGAGGAGCTGGGTCTTTTTCATAAAAGAAAGAAGTGAGTGACTAGGGAGTCTAGTAGAAGGATCCAAGATAGAGAAATCCAGGAGACAGGGTGATCCCTCTCTTTGTGGAAGGCAGGCTGAAGAAGGCCACAGGGATGGAATTAATCCCTGGGGTGGGCCCTGGAAAGGGGGCAAGGCACAGAGAGGCAGTCCTGAGGGCAGTGTTATAGTAAGAAAGGAGCAGGGAGGACCTAGGAAAAAGCCTGACTGGGAATCTGAGGAGTACAGGTTGCAAGGAAGCAGCCCCACGGGCTCAGAGGTAGGAAGTGGCCCACAAAAACAGTGGAGTCCAGAGTACAGGGTGGGATGGGGTTCCTGTATCAGCCTGAGGAAGGGGCATACTAGCTTTACATCAGGACTATGAGCTGAGCGTGGGGCTGAAGACTGAGCCTCAAGGATGGGTTGAGAACTAGCTGAAGAAGGCTCTTTTGTTTGGGGATTATTTGTTGGGCTTTTTATTACACCAGAAGGCATGGGACTAAAACAGGGGTAGGTAACCTATGGCATGTGTGCCGAAGGTGGCACGCAAGCTGATTTTCAGTGGCATTCACACTGCTCGGGTCCTGGCCACCGGTCCGGGGGGGGCTCTGCATTTTATTTTAATTTTAAATGAAGCATCTTAAACATTTTAAAAACCTTATTTACTTTACATACAACAATAGTTTAGTTATATATTATAGACTTGTAGAAAGAGATCTTCTAAAAACATTAAAATGTATTACTGGCATGCAAAACCTTACATTAGAGTGAATAAATGAAGACTCGGCACACCACTTCTGAAAGGTTGCTGACCCGTGGACTAAAATGTCACCTGGCTGGAGCGTTAAATTGGAAGAAGAGGTACACCACCTCAGCGACGATCAGCAAGGGGTGCTAGAGGACACAGCACTGCTATGCCCCACCTAGCCATGAGGGGGCACACCTGCAGTGAGTCTACTCTTCCACAGGCCCCCATTACCAGAGTATCTCAGCCCCTCACAATCTTTAATGTATTTATCACCATAGCACCCCTGTGTAGGTGAGCCCTGCTATTATCCCATTTTACAGGTGGGGGACTTGAGACAGAGAGGCTAAGTGACTTGCCCAAAGTCATACAGGAAGCATGTAGCAAACAAGGAATCGATCCAGGGTCTCCAGCATCCCAGGCTAATGCTCTTGCCACTGGATCATCCTTTCTGTCATTAACTGCTGTTAATCCAGGAAGGGAGAGATTTGCATAGATATGAGAGAACTGGGTGTAATTACATAACAATCCTGTTCTCACAAGATTTCCCCCCATAAGAGAATTTAGAGAAGCATGCAGGTGCTGTGAATCTTTTGAGGTTCCCTTATCCCTACCTTTGCACCAGTTGGAGTAACATTAGCGGCTGTGTCAAGACCAGATCTACCTGGGATTTGTGCAAACTTCCCATTGACATCAGTGGAAGATTCAGTGTGGATTGAGGGGGTTATGAAGTTTTGGATTTATAACCCACTCACATGCATCTGACGAAGTGGGTATTCACCCACGAAAGCTTATGCTCCAATACGTCTGTTAGTCTATAAGGTGCCACAGGACTCTCTGTCACTTTTTACAGATCCAGACTAACACAGCTACCCCTCTGATATTTGAACCCACTCCATGGATCATAATTTAAAGATGGAATTCAGGGCTCTCCACTGAAGGAGTTTGACGCTCCTGGTTTAGAGGGAGTCTAAACTGATGTAAACTCTGCCTTCCTCCACCCCCTTCAACATGTATGGTGTTTAGCTTAGACTCCCTTAACGTTAGTTTAGACTCAGATCCACTTACCACTGTGTAACTCATCTGCCTCTTACACATACATGTCCATGTCATGGGAGGTTTTTAAGAACAGGTTAGACAAGCACCTGTTGGGGATGGTTTTGGTTTACTTGGTCATCCCTCAGTGCAAGGGGCTGGACTAGAGGATCTCTTGAGGTCCCTTCCAGCTCTACATTTCTATGATTTCATCCCTCTGCATTTGGTCCTCTGAATGTAAGTGAATCTAAGGGAGTGTAAATTGATGTAACTCATGCCTGAGGAGCCAGAGGGAAACAAGAAGTTAATAAGTAAAGCAACTACACAGAGGGTATCAGAAGGTGGAAGCTAAAGCACATACCCGCTACTGTAACCCACACCTCCTGCTCCAGATGTAACCCAAGTTAGATGTAAATGGGTGTAAGTGGATCTAAGAAAGTCTAGCTGAGTGTAAGGAAATCTAAATTAGTGTAAGGAGATCTGATTCCCCTCGCATACCAGTGTCAGCCAGAGGAGACTCAGGCCTAGGGGAATCTATTTTACAATCACCTTACATATCACCTGAATTTGGCCCACAAACTGTTGTGAGGTGAATGGAGCAGTTCCATCAAGGCAGCTGCAGGATGAGACCGATTAGGAGAGGGAAAACACCTAATAAGATGCTGAATTCAGCTCTTCCAACTGAATGCAGATGTTTACAAAATGTATTCACGGATGCGATGCGTTAATAACTGATGTGAGTTCTGCTTCTTGGATTCGCTGCTCCGCGCAGCAGCTGAACGTACTGGGGTGAGGGGAATAGGGCGGGTTTTAGGACCCATGAGAACCTTCTTGAGCAGGAGGTGGGAATTCTTCTATAAGCCAGCAAGAGTCCAAGCCTTCCCATCAGAGCTCCTGCGGAGCCGGAGAGAGAGCTCCGCGCTGGGAGACGCACCCAGGATCCAGCAGTCATGGATTGTCTCCCGCCTCTGGCCAGCCCTCTCCAGCTGTTGCTATGGCTCGCCACGCTGGGTGAGTGAAGTAACTTATCCCCCCCGCTTGCCGCACAGAGTCCCTCTCACCCCCAGGCACCAAGCCCCTCCGACTTGTTTCCTGCCCCCGTTTTCTGTTAACTTTTAGTCGTGGGGTGAAGACAACAAGGGGAAAGAAGCCGACGGTGCCATTGGCTCGCTCCTGATGGCTATCGACTGAAATGTGTGGGGGGCGTAGTTTGAGGAGGGCTGCGGCTGCGGGAGGTGAAACGAAGCCGTGGAAGGAAAGGCGTCTCGGGGGGGGGGGGCACAGCTTGGGGGCGATGCGGTGTAGAAGGGAGCGGTTCGGGATGCGAAGGGGAGGGTTGGGACTTCCCACTGGCCGCGGCGCTCAGGCTGAGTTTCGCAGGGAGTCTCTGTTTCGTTGCCAGCTTTGGGACCGAGCAGCAGCAGGAGGGACCAAACCGGGGTCGGAGGGGAGCTGCTAGGAGAGAAACGGGGGGGGGGGGGCTCCCTCTTAGCGGGTTCGCAGGGGCAGCGACCCACGCCACCAAAGCCTGGAAGGAAAAGGCTCCGGGTGTCCGCCGGTGCGCCCCGCATTCACGCGGTGCAGGAGATACAGCCGGGAATGCAACTAGGGCCGGCGTCTGGTCGCTGGGGCTGCTGTCAAGCGAAGTAGTTGTGCTTACCAGCCTAGTACCTGATCTGACTTCCCCGGGGCGAGGGGGAACTATTGTCTTGCTCCTGCAGGGGGCTGGGTTAGGTCTTCGCTAGCTCTGGCTAAGTGCTAAAAAGATGTTGCATTTTGATTTGCATTGGGCCATTCCAGGCCAGCAGCTTGGGAGCAGGTTTCAGCATTTATTGAAATGGAGACTTCTGCTTACAAATAGCCTGGGCTGGGCCATCCATCTGTTGTGTTTCTGGCTGTGTGCTGCGGTTGGTCCCATTGGGAAGATACTATAAGTTGGCACACCCCTTGTAAGCAGAGCTGCTGTGTATTTCTTTGGAGAGCCCCAGTTCTTTGGTTGCCCAGGGTCTGATTCAGAGCCATTGAGTCTTGTTTCAGTCTCTGCTTTTGGTGGAGTGGTTTTCAAACTGCTGTCTGTGATGAAATTATACTTAGGTTTTCTTATAGTGCCTGTTGGTAGGCTCCTAATTTGAAGGGTGGCTGTGCTAAAAAGAGGCAGATAAGAAAGGTGTGTTTTAGAGGGCACAAGTAAGGAGCTAAAGGTAAACAAACATACAGTTTGTAAGCTCTGTCCTGCCATGTACCAAAAATATTCTCAATTGTCCAAGAAGTGACTGGGACACAGAGAGGTTTAACCCCCTTAGCTGCTTTTATGGGCTTCAAAAGGGCGTAATCTGCCTTGGAGAAGGAAGATCCTGAGACTCAGCCCTCCTTTCTTTTAGGGCCTGCTCCTGCTCCTGAGGGAGTCAAGGTGAGTTTTGCTGATGACTTCAGTTGAAGCAGGATTGGGCTGTTCATGGGCACTTGTTTCCTGCTGGATTTAACTGCCCTAAGTCCTGGCAGTGAAGACAGCTCCAGCCCTACACTGATTTTCTGCTGTCTGCCTGGTGAAATGCACATTCCTAGTGGGCTGTGCCCTGAATGGGCTATACCAGTGTCCCTCTCTTCTGCTGGGTTTCAAAGTGCTGGTGCTTATGGGGGGGGGACACCAAAAAGCTACAAAAAAGCCAGAAAATCATATGGAGGAAAGAAGCCCAAACCAGCGTGTTGCTGGGGAGGTGCATTATCAAGACCTGGGGAGAGGGAAAGAGACTTATGCTGCCTCTTCAGGGGCCAAAGTGGAGGCTATAGCCCCAAAACACTGCTTGGGGGGGCAAGGGGAAACCAGACTGAATGATTGCCTAGAAAAGAGCCTATTTTTTCATCATCTGTGTTAGCAGGTTTCTCCTGGGAATTCCATGAAGGCCAATCCCCTAAGGAAGACTGGGTGCTGAGGCACTTTCTTGATAGAAAGCTGAAATGCTCTGTCAACAGAATTACAGACAAACATATGCCCTAGCGGAGCCTCCTATTTCTAACACACTGTTTGTTCATGACTATACCATGCAGTGATTTTACTGCCAGAGGGGCGAGTGGTGGCTTACTGGTTATGGCCGCCACTCTACAGCTAAGGCTGCAGGAACTCTTCTGTTCAAACACCTGTTTTCAACCCTTTCTATTATCTGCAGTGAAATTTTTATGGGATGGGATTTCTCAAGCTTCATTTCAGGTGAGAGAAGTTTTTTGGGTGGAAGAGTTTCAGAGTAACCTGTCCAGTCGCTTTTGACTTGTGCAACATTAGAGCAATATTGGAATTAAAGATGTGCTGTTACTGGGTATCTCCTATCAACTTTCACTTCTTAGTAACCTTCTGCTGGCAGCAGCCAGGGAGCTTTTCACGCTCTGTCTTTAGGGGTTTATCTAAACAAGAAAGTTGCACTGGTTTAACCTAATGTGGAAATTAAAACGAGTTTCCTTAAATCAGTGCAAACCTCTGTGTGGACACTCTTATTTCAGTTTGAGTGGCTTATTTCAGTTTTGCTTAAGTCGCTTGAGAACAAGTTTTAGCACCTGAAATTAAACCAGTGTAACTTGCTCACAGAGATAAGTCCTTTCTCTGACATCTGAGGCATCCAGGCATTTAGGTGTCTCTTTCCTTCCCTTCGTCTACCTGGAGGTGAACATGCTATGAGTGGAGTGAGAGGAGATAACCCCCTCTCCTTCCTATTGTGGAATAGCCTTCCTTTTATTAGCCCCTCAGTCTCTTTTGTGCTACCCATCACAAAGACAGGTTTGTGGTTTCATTAGACCACTCCACTAGTCCTAGGCCAGGACAGCACCAAGTGATCCTTGAAAACTCGAGGAGGAGGAGGAGGAGGATCCAAGCTCCCTTACTAAATAGCAGCCTGTCTCTGGATATGATGTCCACCTGGGGATGCATGGTACCAGGCACTGCTAATAGCATTGAAGGTCAAGCAGCTGAGGGAGAGTGCCAGTTGGGGATGCCTTGAAGTGGAAAGGAACAGATTTTTAGGCATGAAAATTGGGGAAGTGGAGGGAATCTTTAAAGTACAATGGAACAGGTCAGGCTAACTTGAGAGGAATTCTGTTTTCAGGGAAACTCGGGAAGATGTGAAAATGAGGGATTTTCAGCCTCTCATGCAGGGAGGACACATCATGCAAACAAAGGCTGGAAGGAGGGTGGAACGAAGCAAGGGCTCACATGCACTGTTGTTTTAAAGTCTGTCTTCTAACGTGGAAGACGTGGTCCTTCGACAACTATGGGAGGCAAAGTCCAACCATTTGTCCATGCTCCTCTGTTCATTACATTGCTACAACACCGTGCTTGCAGTCCACTTAAAAACGGGGAGATTCAGGCAGAGCAATGGATGTACCAGTTCAGTGACATCACCCAAACTGCATACTGTATGTGTGGTGTGTGTGTGTTTGCAAGCTGTTTGTATATGTGCCTAGCTATGCATGGTGTGCTTGTATATGTATGTGCATCTACATGCTGTGTGTGAGACTACCTGTTTACTACATACTTGCATTTGTGTGCAAGTGCTTGTCTTCAGACTATAGGGGTGTGTAGCAATTGTATTAGTGGTTGTTTTCTTTCCTGGAAGGAAACTCCTGCTTGTAATTCCATGTTGGATCATGGCAACATTCCTTCCTGCCCCAGAAAAATAGTAATAGAAACAAAGATAACTTCTTAAAATTTCAGTGAAAGACAGAAAAAAGTGAGTGAGGAGAAGAGATAGATAACCTTCCTGGAAACAGAAATAAACAGAGGGGAAATTAGAGGCTAAATTCTGATCTGATATAAATTGATGTAGCTCCATTGACTTGAGCGGAGTTGCATTGACTTATACCAGCTGAGAATCTGGCCCTAGATATTTAAAGACCCTTGATCCAAAACTAAAACCTTCTTAGCACAATATGATTCCTGACCCAAGTGCTGGAATCACAGCAGGAAAACCACGACATTGATTACTGAACTAGACCAGTCTCACAGCTCTTCACTGCACCTGAGCATCAGTTCCTCCCCTCTCCCTCCCATTCATCTTGCTCCCCTTCCTGTCTCCTCTCCCACATTACAGCACTGGGTTCACTGTTGGCATGACAGAACCGGTTGGTGCAGAGAAACAAAAGATGGAAAGGAATCCTTGTGTACAAAGCATCAGATAGGTGACAGGTACGACAGCAGGGCTGTGTGGAACAGCAGAAAAATTAGATATCTTATGAGAGATGTGTGACAGCAGATATGACACATGGCTGTATGGGCTGGAGGGGAATTCAAAGCCAGATAGCCAGACTGTGACCAGCACCTTTGTGGGTGCATACTGGATGAGGGTGCAAGGAGCTTTCTCTGCCCCATGCATAGGGGTCAGCCACAGCCAGAGTCTAAGATTAGTGCCTACATATGCCTTTGAAAAAGAGACAATGGAGGTGGGACCAGAGCCTTGCACTGAATAGTGGAATTGGCTGACTGCGGGGTGGAGTGTACTTCCTAATGGGTGGCATGCCCTGGGCTAGTGAGACTCTGTGATGCCCCCTATTCAGGGCTGTAACTTATCTGCATAATCCGATCCATAATGAGTGATGGGTAACGGAAAGGGAAATAACACTGGCTTAGTATAGAATTAAGGGAGATGGAGGTGGCTGTTCAATCAGCAAGAACACTGGTAGACACTGGAGTGAGAGAAGAGCTCTGACTTATCTCTGTATTGAATTTCCAGGCCAAATAAAACCCCATTAAGGAGTTGGTAGTGATTCTATATTTGAGCCTTGAAGGTAGAGTTGGTTGAAAAACATGAAACTCTTCACAACCATTTTTGTCAATATATTTTTCTCACTTTTCATTAAAAGAAATTTGGATGTAAAGTTTCCAACCAGCTTTACTTAAGGGAAAGAAACCTTAATGTCCTAGATTGTAATAAATAATACTAAATGCATCTATTAGAAAAGGACATTCAGAGTTAAGGTTAATATTTTTTTAGAAGTAAGGGAAACATGGAAATACAGAACTGAAGTAACGCAAACAACCTGGGACTCTTCTGTTCCCACATCCCAACTCCTCTTCCAAGTAAAGGTAGATCCGTATCGGTCATAAGCACCACAGATTTACAGCTAGTCAGTGTCTGAAATCCCTTATCCCTTGGCATTTCACCCAGGAATGATGCCTATTTATATGTGTTCATCTACATAGTTGTAGCATAGTAGGTCTATCAGAATATAGAGAACAAACCTGTGAGGGTATATGCGGTTTAAGATGTCCACAGCTATCCACTGTTTATATTAAAAGTTTGAAATGGTAAAATTCCCACTTTCTGGCAGAAGGGAATAAGATTGGGAAATTGGGATGGGGCTGGATGGGTTTTCAGCATGTGTATATGTAAAAGGTGAGATGTTTGCGTTCTCTCTTGTTAAGGAGAACAGTCTCTGATAGTAGAGTTTGCATACACATAGAGATGGTGGGTGACACATTGACTAGTATACTGAGTAAGATACAAAGAACAGGGGTTAGACTAACACAGCTTATGCTGTCAGTGTTGAAAATGAATATTATGCCTGCACGAGACTCATGATTTAGTTGAGGATGTTTGAGTACCTTGACTTTGCAATTCCATCCTTTCTTGGGTTTGTTTTCGTTGTAGTTATTTAACTTTGTTTTTTCTAGATTTCCATTATTTGTGGTTTTCCTTAACTTTTCACACTACAACATTCTTTAGGTCCTCCCCCCTTAAGTGGTTAATGCATGTTTGCTACTGTAATATAAGTTTAACAAACGTCTTTCTTAAGAATTTCCTTAGGCTTTTTTAAAAGGTATTTTAAGATTGGTCCTCTGACATTTGGCTGTGCGTTATTGGTTTATGGAATCTGTCTCTGCATTTGTAATGTTTTAAAAGCACATAATTTGCCACATGAACACTTCCATGCTTTATATACCCTTCAGAAGTGATTCACATGTTCATAAGCTCTGCAAAACTGTGGGTTTGTAATCCCCATAGGTGCCTGGGCAGCATTTAAAATTTCAGATCAGGAACTGGCATAAAGATTGGCACTTCAGCTATAGATTTTTAAGAAGTCATAGTAGATCCTAAAGTCTACAAACCATGATGCAATATTCACACCCGGCAACAAATGTTTGGAACTGTTGACCAAGGATTGTGGTGGAGTCTCCATCGCTGACAACTTGTAAATAAAGATTGGATGTTTTTTTTTTAAAAGATCTGCTCTAGGAATTATTTTGGAGAAGTTCCATGGCCTGTGTTATACAGGAGGTCAGACTAGATTATCACAATGGGCTCTTTTCGCTTTGGTATCTAAGAATCAGCCTTTATCTTCTCTTATTCAATAAATCCCACTCCGCTCCCAGGACCAGGAATAGAATACAGGAATCCTCACTCTCGGCCCCTGCTTTCACTCACT